CTGGAGTACTGCATCCAATTCTGGGCCCCCTACTACAGAAAGGATGTGGACGCACTGGAGAGGGTCCAGAGGAGGGCAATCAAAATGATTAGGGAGCTGGAGCACATGACCTATGAGGACAGGCTGAGGAATTTTAGCTCATTTAGTCTGAAGAAGAGAAGAGTGAGGAGGGATTTGATATCAGCCTTCAACTTCCTGAAGGGAAGTTCCAAAGAGGATGAAGAGAAGCTGTTCTCAGTGGCGACAGACGGCAGAACAAGGAGCAATGGTTTCAAGTTACAGTGGGGGAGGTTTAGGTTGGATATTAGGAAAATCTACTTCACTAGGAGGGTGGTGAAGCTCTGGAATGGGTTACTTAGGGAGGTTTTTAAGTCTCGGCTTGACAAAGCCCTGGCTGGGATGATTTAGTTGGGGTTGGTCCTGGTCCTGCTTTGGGCAGGGGGCTGGACTCAATGACCTCCTGAGGTCTCTTCCAGCCCTATGATTCTATGACAGGGCTGTCAGCAAGTGGGATAGGGATGCAGTATCTGGGTGGGAGGTGGGGTGCAGGGTCTGGAAGGGAATTTGTGGGGTGGGGGTATAAGAGGGAATTTGGGGGCAGGAGGGGGTTGAGACAGTAATGTAGAAAAGATGAAAGGGTGAGAATGCACCCAAATAACTAGGTGGGGAAGGAGGCAAAGAAGTGGGAAGTAAAGAAAAATTCAGCTTCTTCAAAGTAAAATTGTATCCCCCTTAAATCTTACCTCTGCTCCAGCCTCGCTCCCCATGATTCCCCCACCCTGATCCCCTTCATCATCCCATACTCCTCAGTGCAACCCCTACCCCCTCCCATTCTGTCCCTGCATCCTCCTTCACCCCACAGACCTGTGCCCCCAGTGCACTCACCAGATGGACAGCAGAACTGGGACTTGCAGCCACCAGCGAGCATCACTGGGGCAAGGATGGGGAGAGGGCAGAGTCTCTTCCTTGCCCAGCCCAGCCCTTTCCTGCAGGCAGCAGCTCCGGGGCTGGGCAGGCAGAGCGTGGGGTTGCCCAGGGCTGGCTTCAGCTGGGCCATGGGCAGCAAGGCGCTGGAGAAAGAATTCCCCGAACCCACACACATCCCGGCTGAGTGCAGCGGGATGCTGGGGAAGGTGGCTCTCCAAACCCCACGCAGTCTGCAGGGAATAGTGTGGTGTAACTCTGTCCCCAGCACACCACCTGTGCCAGCCACCCAGCTCCCTCCCGGAGCAGGAGGCAAGAGTGGGAATGCATGCATGCCTCTTCCCCTACTCCAGCCAGAAAGCTAACTTGGGGTATGTCTACACTTGCACCCTCTTTCGAGAGAGGGATGCAAATGAAGACATTCGAAATTGCAAATGAAGCCGTGATTTAAATATCCCACGCTTCATTTGCATTTTCACATTATGGCGCTATTTCGAAATAAAAGATGCTGTTAAGACGTGGTTATTTCAAGAGAAAACCCTTCTCTTGAAATAACTGGTAAGCCTCATACAATGAGGAATAAGGGTTATTTCGAGAGAAGGGTTTTCAAATGTCTTCATTTGCATCCCTCTCGAAAGAGGGGGTAAGTGTCGACATACCCAAAGAGGGACAGCCGCCTCCGTGCTGAGGCTGCCAAGGCTGCGCTGTGCTCAAACTGGGCTGGATGAAAGAAGGGCAGCTAGCAGGGCGGCTGCCCCTCTTTGATCCAGCCCAGCTGGAGCACAGTGCAGCCTTGGTGGGTTGAATGCCAAGCTGGGCAGGAGCAAACAGGGGCAGCTACCGGGACTGTACTGTGCTCCAGCTGGGCTGAATCAAAGAGGGGCAGCCTCTTTGCCAGCTGGCTGCAGCAACTGACCACTTGGCTAGGAGATGTTTACTTGGGCAACTCCCAGCCAGCAGCCCAGCAAGTTTTTCAACCAGGCTCCCTGCCTTCCATGTCCCCACACACCACTGAGAGCAGCCAGCTGCAAGGGGCCATGTGTGCTTCCCTGAAGCACCTAGTACTGAAGGGTGGGCAATAATTTTCTCAAGGGGGCCACTTCCCAAATTTTAGTACCTGGTTGTGGGCTGGCTCTAGCCCCCCTGGAAGGGGCAAGGCCTCGGGCAGAAGGAGCAGGGCCAGGATACTTCCAGAGAGAGAGAGAGAAAGAGAGAGACTTTGTGTGTGAAACCCACAGCATAGGTGGGGAAAAGAGACAGCAGTGTATGTGGGGCAGTGATTGTGTGCAGCACAGAGACCGTTTGGCACGAACTGGGTGTGTGAGACAGTGACACATGGTGTGTGCTGGCTAAGTTTCTGAGATAACCCATGCTCTGTCTCCTCCTGCCCCCACTCTGCAATCCTCTGAGATGCATGCTTCAGATTGGAGCAACTCTGCTGCCTCTGCCTCTACAACCCCTGTTCTGCAGAGAAGGGATGCAGACACAGGGAACAGCCTGACTGTAGCTCTCTCCTTTGTCCTCCACCTTCCTGCACAGCTAGCAAGAAAATCCTGGAAACAGCTCTACTGCAGAATAGAGCAAAATGAGGAAGGGGTAGCTGAACACATGCTACTGGTTGCCAGCTGTAAGTATGCACCTATGCTAATTAGCTGGGCAGGCTGCAGAGAAATGCTTGTCAGGTTGAATCTGACCCCTGGGTTTGAGTTTTCCCACTCCTGCCCTAAAGCAAGCAAGGAAAGGGTAACAAGATCCAATCTAAGTGGTCACTAGATTGCTGTAAGCTACAGACTCTCTCTCTCTCTCTCTGTGTGTGTGTGTGCGTGTGAATATGCTTTTCAATTTGGATTTTCAATAAACATTGCTTTTTCCCCAGAAAAATATCCTGTGTGTTTCTTATCAGCATAACTTAGAAGATTTATCTGGCATTGCTCAGATCTTTAACTCCATTTTTGTTTTTTTGGAAAATAAAGTAAAAATGTGTTTCATTTAAATCATTGCTCTGGGTTGGGACTGGGATAAAAGGCTCATTATGCAGGCTGCCCTGGGAAGAGAAGACAACCCCAGCCCTCTCTCATCACAGGAGCTTGGGGCTAGGTGAGAAGCACCTCTCCATGGCCACTCCACCTCCAGTGAGTATAGTTGTGGAAGGGGTGTATGTTCCCTGGTTGTGGAAGGTCCAGGTTAGACAGAGTAGAGTCCACAGAAGGACCACCTATCTCTCAGTAGCAGGAACTCTGGAGCAGGTCCAGATGGGGTGCCATGGCTGGGCGGGGAGGTGCTCTTTCCTCTGGCCCCACTTTGGAGAAGACTCAGCTGGGAGTGACAAGGGGTGCCTCCAGCATAGAGCTGCTATGGCCAGGGGGTGAGACACCACCACCTCCTAAGGCCCCAGCACAGAGCAGCCACAGCTGGGGGGAGGGGAGGCACAGCCCCTAGCAGGCCAAGAACAGAGCTCTTTGAACATTTGCTCAATTATAGCAATTTTAAGAACTATTTGATTTGGTGATTCTGTCTCTTCTGTTTGGTTTAAGAACAGCATCCCATTCCAGTCACGTTCCATTTTCCTGGCACAACCAAACCCTTATGTTGCTTTAAGTTTTAAGAGGAAGCTGTATACTAAATTTGGTGATCCTAGCTCTGCCTACTTAGTTCTTGAGCAAACCAATATAATACAAACTCTCTCAAATATATAGTAGACAATGGTGTCACTGTCCTCTTTTTGCCAAAAGCTGGGAATGGATATCAGGGAACATATCACTTGATAACTATCTGTTCTGTTCATTTCCTCTAAGGCCCTTGTATTGGCCACTGTTGGAAGACAGGATATGGGGCTAGATGGACCTTTGGTCTGACCCAGTATGGCTGTTCTTAAGTTTCTTACGTTATAAACTGAAGTGGAAGACTTGTTTAGGAGATCCCAAAATGAAGGAGAGAGTTCCCTAGCACCTCCTTCTGAGTAAGTAGTACCACTAAATAAAACCACAAAGTTCCTGATAGCTACTCTTGATTTAAGACTGTTTTGGAGGAGTGGAGAGAGAGAGTACTAAGTAACGGGATCCATTGTACACAGAGGAGTAGAAAAATGGAAATGGTTTGTACAGGAGACAGCACCATCTTCCATATGCACAAATATCTTCCCATCTAGTTTCTGAAGAGGTTGGGGAGAGCAGTACTTGAACTGCTTACAGTGAATGAAACTGAGTTCTGAGGTGCAGATGGCTTTCAAAAGTCACTGAGCCCTGCAAGTCAGCCAAATGAATGGCCAAGCAGGGGACCTTTTCCTGGTGCCTTGCAAAGGGACTTCTCTCCTAAGTCACTTCTGAAAATGGAAGTTAGAGTGGTAAGCCACTTAAATTGTTTTGAAATTTTGACCCAAAAGGCCAGATTTTTTAAAGTGACTTAGGTATCTAAAGATGCAGATAGGTTCCTGATGGGATTTTCAAAAGCATCTAAGAAGACTGAATCCCTAATTCTCATTGATTTAAATCCCTATGAAAATCTTGTCCTACCTGTTGAAGGGATAAAAAAAAAACCCTCCAGCTAGCCCTAGGCAGCTGACTTGGGCTTGCAGCATTTAGAATGTGGAGCTGAAAAATCATCATGTAGATGTTCAGACTTTGGCTGGAGGCCCAAGCAATGGGACCTTGCAGAGGGAATGGGGAGTGGGTGGGAAGAGAGTCCAAGAGCTTGTTCTCCGAGCTAATCCGGGCAACAGATCTATTATTTCCATGCAGACATATTCTAAGTGATGTGGCCCAAATCAAGCAAAGTCAGGACTCACTCAAGTTTCTCATCTTTCAGTCTTCGGATGAAACTGTGATCCCACTGAAATCAATGGGAGTTTTGTCATTTACTTTAATGCGGACAGGATTTCATCCTCAATTTCTAAAAAAACAAATTAAATGAGTTTTTTTCTTCCCTTTTTATAAGGCAATGTGAGTGACTAGTTACCATATGTCCAAATGTCTTATATGCACAACTTGGACCTATCACTGACTATTTGATCACTCCTGTAATATTTTATAAAATTGTCATATATGAAAAGATGCAATAATGCATAATGGCAAGCTGAGTTTACCAGAATTTTCAACCAATTTAGAATGGATTTATTTTTAAAACATTCAGCTCTCAAAAGTCACTGCAGAACACCATAAATCAGCAGAGAGCTAATGTTGATTGGAGAGCCTCCCTTATTTAAAAAAAAAACAAAAACATTTCTGTCCTTTTTGCCATCTCACAGAAAGACAAAAAAGATTCCACATATCAGCCCCCATTATAATTAACAGCTTGGTCCTGTTCAGAATACTGATCAGTTAGCAGTCAAGATGCAAAGTCAATTCTGACACATAATCCACTATTACATCAGATATTTTGTATAATGCTTGAAGTAAAGGTAACAAGGAGCCATCTAACAGGTATTTGAAATTTCACCCAGGTATTTAAAATATTATAATATTTAAGAGCTTGCTCATGTTATATAAAGTTAATACTAAAAACTTCTCCAAGGTATTTTTCATATCGCACCATCAGTTTAAAAACAGCCTAAGCATGCCAGATATTTAAATAAACAATAAATGCTACAAAGGGTAAACAACATTGTTCTATTAAAAACTGTCTTCAACTATGGTACTCAGTGACAGAAATATAATATTTTTTTGGCAAAGCAACTAAGAAAAATAGGCCATAAATTCATTTATCAGTAGTCTAGTAGTCTGATACATTCATGTAATTATAGCATACTTTATATAAACTATTTCCTGAGATACTTTGGGTAGTTTATTTTTGTTGTATTACTGGATGCATTATCTTTGATGATTCACTTTAAAACACCTGTGCAATATTTTTGTGTAGCGGACACAATCAATAACACATAAAAAGTAGTAAATGCAAATATATGGCAATGGGACAGCTCTTATAAATGTTGCACTTTCAACCATGTTACACATACTTTAACATCTGTCTCCGTTGGGGGAAAAAAATGAATTTACAGCTAAGAATCTACAAATGCAAAAAAGTATTTCAGGAATGTTGGGGTCAAAGCATAAGATAAATGACACTAAGAAAAAGTCGTAATTCTTATTATCTAAGTATTGTCTTCAAAAGCAACTGGACATGTTGTAATCAGTTCACAGCATAATAAATATTTCTACTAATCTGTTTTGGAAGAACAAATGTCTTTTAAGGTTTCAAGCTCCTCTATAAGTTTCTTGTTCTGAACTTCTAGCACTGCAACTCGACTCTCCAGACATTTTATATATTCTTTCTTCCGACGTCGACATTCTTTAGCAGCTTCCCTGAAAAAGCAGAAGTAAAGAGTGCAAACAAAAAAGCCATTTGGAGCTATTATGAAATGCAGATTGAAGAAAGCTCAGTATAATATGGAGATCATGACAGCATTCCAAATTTCCCAAATCAGTCTGAAAACACTAAACAAAACTGGGTTCACAAGGGTCACAAGCGTCCCTTCCTCAAATTCACATGGCAATCTGTAGAACTGCTTCATCTCATGACTTGATTAAAGTTCATAATAAACAAAGTCTAAGTCAAAGACAGTTATTCTGCCTTATGGCAATAAAGATCTTTGAGGGCCTTGAGTTCCTCAATCAGTGTCTTGTTTTGGTTTTCAAGCACAGCCACACGATTTTCAAGACATTTGACATACTCCTTCTTCTTTCTGCGACATTCTCGAGCAGCTTCCCTAGAACCAACACAAGGTAAATAACTACAGGAACAGCCACAACACGGCAAACTCTGGATAAGTGAAATTACCTGAAATCCCTACAAATTCCACAATAAATCAATCATGCATCAGACAAAAAGAAAGCTAAGCAATAATTGTAGACAACTGCACGATTCAGAAGCAACTTAATACAACAGGAACAGCTTGTTAATTAATACAGGTTGCACAGCTTCTACAGTATGAGGAAAGAACTTTTTATTCACATGAACTGATACACACAAACAGTGGAGACAATAATCAGATGTTAAGAACTGCCTTCAACTGCACTATTACAATTAAATTATTGCTTTCATTTCTGCAAACAGAATCTGTTATTCCCATCACATCCCACATCCATCGATGTGCTTATGGAAGTATTTAGGGCATCATATTCTGCAACCAAAAAGTTTAACTCCAAAAATGTTACAGAATTGCTTTTCTGAACACTTAATGTAGCAGCAATTCTCTCCAGATTAAATGCTAAATAACAGTCTAAAAGATGATGTAACTTTGACTTGACTTGCAAAACTACAGGTTAGGATTGTAGTTCAAAATGGGTATATATGTTTTCTTTAAACACATTCACTTGTACATATACAGTCCTGATTCTTCTTTTTATGCAAAGGTAACCACCCATTTCACAATCTATTAACAATTCTGTTACATAAAAGTTAAGCAGTTTGGGAAAGATTTTCAAAAGCACTTCAGTGAGTTACCACTCACTTACTGGTATTGAAGCATTCCTTCATTAGGCATTTAAGCACTCCTGAGAATGTCACCCCTTAATATTTACAGGGATGATGTTATACATTATCATAATATATTTTTTTTAAAATGCCTTCCTGCATGCTCTGAATAAGTAGATGTGAAACTAGCTCAGAAACTGAAAAGAAAAACAAGAGAAAGCAGTATAAAAACACATCAGTCCTCAAGAGTGATTTAAAACAAAGACAGGCAAGGCAACACAATATGATGAGAAATCAGAAAGGATGCAGCTATTTAGTAACTTAGAGATCTACAGAGAGGTCTATTTCTTCCTGCTACGTGTATGCATCTAAGTTCCACTGAGGTTAGAAGCAGGTATGCACATGCAAAGATGAGAAAACACCATTATAAAACAGGCAGAGTAATGCATGAAAAAAGCATGATAGTTTAGCTTATTCTGCACAACAAAGTACATCCAAAGAAATTAAAATACCTGTCCAAAATGACCCAATACATCACTGTCCACATAAATCTCCCAAAATCAAAGTTATCCTGTGGCAGTTATATTCTGCAAAAACATCTTCCTGCCAGCATACCACATAACACAATATACAACAATCATTTTGAAATACAATAAAACTTTCTTTTACAGTTCACACTGCACAGATATTTCATTACAGTCACCAAATTTAAATGTAGTTTGTATTTTAAAAGTACCAGCCACAAAGGAGAGAGTGTAATTTGTGTTACACAGAAAATAACTGCTTTTAATTGCACAAATATTTTCATCCTGCAGGATTTATACTTTTGATATATAGTTGGGATAAAGTTTTGAACATAATGCAGATATCTGAGTTTCAGACAGCAATAGTTTTATGCTTCCTTCCAAAAGGAGCAAGCAGATTGCAACTGCAGCCCATATGCTTTTTATTTATGGTTGTCACCCCTCCAGGATTGTCCTGAAGCCTCCAGAAACTAAAGATTAATTTTTAATTTAAGATTATGTCATGTGAGGAAACCAATCCAATCCAATCCAATCCAATCCATCCAATCTAAATTGGCAGCCCTATTTATATTGCATCATTTGACATCATCTGAAGATGTACGGAGTGTAATGCAGGGCAACATAGTTAAGTTATGTCTACAACTGTATTTGATCAACAAAACTTTTGTCATTCACGAGTGCTTAAGAAACCACATGCAACAAAGTTTTGCTATGGCAAGTGAAAATGTGAACACAGCTTTCTCAGCAGGAGCTCTCATGCTGACAAACTGAAACTCCCTCACAGAGGGTGGAAGTATTTTGTCGGCTAAAGTGCTGATAAACAGCGTTCACATAAGCTGATTTTTAATAACTAGCCTGTGTCAACATCGGCTTATCGCTAAAAGCTGGGTAGACATACCCTTAGAAGGGCTCAAAAATATAAAGAAATATAGTGTGGCAGTTACTTAAGTGCATCTACACTGCAGGGCTTAACTCGAAATGCACTACGCAAATTGAGCTACATCAATTATGTAGCTATTTCAAAATAGCTTATTTCAAAATTGGGAATGTTTACACAGCACTTATTTCAAAATAGAGCACACTTCCTCTGACTTTTCTTACTCCTCATAAAATGAGGGTTACAGGAGTTGGATTAAGAAGTCTTGCAGCTTGACAGTATTTTAACATTATTTCGAAATAACTGCCTGCTGTGTAGACTTGGAAGAAGTTATATCAAAATAACGCTAGTTATTCCGAAATAATATTGCTGTGTAGATGTACCCTATTAGACATACTCGTGCCCTTTTTCTGAAAGTGTATAGGAAGCTTTCATTGTGGATGATCTGCCTAGCTTGACAGGTCACTCCCAGAGAGGTGAGCCAATGAAAGAATACTGGCAAAGCACAGGACTGACAGAAATATCTGCTGAAAAGCTGGGTCCCAGTACCTACACCCTTCTGAATGCAGGCTAAAGGTTTCTTTTTCACTAGCAACCAAAGAAACTAGTGTGCTATTCCAAAAGCTGAATGGTTCTTGCTGTGGAGGTCTCTAGACTTTCTGTCTGCTGACAGGATTCTGAAGAGTTTGAAAGGAATGAGATGAAGCCATTTTCCCCAAGCTTTGAAGAGTCCAGATGATACATATTACATATTATGACTACACTACAGTATAAAAAAAATTATCTGAAAGATGATCAGAGCGGAATGTGTTTATATATGCATGTTAAATAACAAACTGTAAATGTAATGTTGATAACTTATATTTAGATATATTTTAGAGCAGCAAAACAATGGGTTTTTGGCTCTGGAGAAGTGTAGATGATTGTGATGACTACATAAGTACACTAACTGGATACTGCTACAAAATATGATGACCGGCAATGAATAAGTTAACATTGTTATTTAAATTGTTATATTTCAGCATTGAAAATCCATGGGGTTGAGTAGGTCAGCTCATGCCTTTTAGAATGATTGTTTCAGTCTCTCTGTAGACTCAGGAAAACAACACAGCACTGATTTCTGCTCTATTAACTGTGAATATGTGATTTTTCACAATCATGAAGTCTAGAAACATTACTTGTTTTCAATGAAACTGGATTTAGTAACATTGTTTTGCAGGAAAGGGTGTTCTTCATGACTCAGTGGAAGAAAAGCTACTTATGGTTTAGGCACTTATTGGCCATTCTACATCAGTGCTTTGTAGGTACACACTTGCTGGTGACGTGATTTAACAGTTAAGAATGTTCTGCTCTCCCTCCATCACATCAAGGGCTACATGACCTTAAGAGTAAGAATTTATTGTAATATTTTCCTTTTCAGGTGATTAATCTTAGCTGACATTTGCCCTTTGCCGCAGTGACTAATAATTATATTATAGTTACATTGTCTTACCTATTTTTCATAAGTCTCAGCTCCCTTTTGCGTGTTGCCTCTTCTGCTAGCTGCTGAGGGCTGTGCAAAGTTCCTGGAGAGGCTGCCATTACCACTCCTTGAGGCAAGGCTGTAGTGGGAGTTCGGATCTGGTAAGTTGGCATGTCTCCAGTGGCAGCTGTATTAAGAAGAAGATTATATGTTCATACAAACGTATCTGTCAAAATGTAACTGAAATAGCAGACTTATTTTATAATGTTAATCATTAAACATTATAAACTTATTTTATAATGTTAATCATTGTTACATCAAACATTTCAGAGACTTGTGATGTGATGATACAAAAGCTAACAAATACAACTTACACAGTCTTCTATCTACTTTTTAACACATTAGTTACACAATACATTTTAAAAGATGCTTTTATGTTTTTAACTCGGAACCAGTTTAATGTTCTCTGTTTTCTTATTTCCTGTAATTTTTTGCTCATTTCTAAGATATTCTTTTTGTAGTTTTATGACAAAGACAACCATTAAAATGTCATTAAAGTTGGGTAAGTCAATGTACTTGGCATATCTTAACATTTAAAGTTACTATACATTTAAATGTTGAGTGTCCTATACTTAAAAATAAGAGCAAATTCTTGCCTGTTTATTTTTATGTTTTTCATATCATTGTCAACAAAAAAGCATAACTTTTCCTCATCACAGCAGATGAATAGAGAAGATAAATCACATTTCAGGTGTTGTCACATCATCTCATTAAATTTTGTACTTTGTTTCTTTAAAAGAATGCTACACAAATAATGGAACACTCAGTAAAATTCAGGAATGGACTAAAATAATATAAAAGGTAAAACTTCTTCAACAATACACTTTTTTAAGGAGGGGGAAGATTGGGAAGATGGAGAAGTCAGTTAGATGGAGGAAAATATTGTAAAAAGCTAAATGAATAAATAATTACCCTTCTTATAGACTTCTTCCACATCTTTTTACACCAGTGGATCTTCTAAAGCAGTGGTCAGAATTTGTTAAATGGAGAAAAAAAATGTAAAATAATAGACTCCTAGGAAGACCATACCAAAAATTCACTGGACATAGTCACATTCAAGCAGGAGAGGATGGCCTGGTACATAAGGCACAGGAGGACTGGGATCTGGGATCAGTATTGGACTCCCTGTGTGACCAAGGGTCAAGTCAGTTAGATTCTGATTTGTACTTAAGCACCTTGATTTTTGTTTTAGTTTACTATCTGTAAAATGGAATAGTAATACTTCCTTAGTTCTAGACTATGGCCAGGTCTACACTATAAGGCTAAGTCTACACTGCCCAGTCTTGTGCAGGAACATATGCAAATGAGGCACGGCGATGAATATGCTTATTTTCAGGCAGAACTGCTCTTGAGCAAGAGAAAGTTTTTGCACAAGAAGGAGCAGTGTAGACTGTTCCTTCTTGCGCAAAATGGTGGCTCATTAAGTATGCAAATGAGGTGCGGCGATATTCATCACCACGCCTCTTTTGCATATGTTCTTGCACAAGACTGGGCAATGTAGATGTAGCCTAAGAGAAACTTGACCTAAGGTACGCAACTCTAGCTATGAGAATAGCATAGCTGGAGTCGACTTACCTTAGGTTGAAATTCTATAGTGTTCCCAGTGCAAGAGGTCGATGAGAGAAACTCTCCTGTCAACTCCCCTTATTTCTCGCAACAACATGGAGTACTGGGGTTGATGGAGGCACTATTAGCATTTGATTTAGTGGGTTCTTTATAGACCTGTGGTGATGGGGTTGCAGGGGCCAATGGAGAAAGTCCCGCACCCCGCACTAACGTGGTGCACCACCCAGCTGTCACAGGAAGCACCCGGCGGTGCCGGGTGTGTTCCGCCGCAGCTGCAAGCGGCTGCGCGGTAGCCCTCAGCTGGCGGGAGCCAGAAGGAAGAAGAGCGCAGGTGCCGGCGTCCGGGGCGGATGGCACCACCTTTGAAAAAGACCAGCTAGGGGTGGTAAGGGGGGGCGGTGCGGAGAGAAGGGGACCCGGCAGGGACGAAGAGGTGGCGGTGCCGGCTGGCAAAGGGGGGAGAGTTCCCGGCCACAAGGGGTGCGCCGGGTAAAGGATAGCCCGGGGTAGCGGACGAACCCTGCAGGGTTCCATGACCCCTCACCAGGGGGTAGGAAGCAGTCCAGGAAAGGGAGATCACGGAGCCCATGGGCCGTACAGGAAGGTAGGCTTCCTATCCTTAGGGTCCTGGGCTGAGACCTGGAGAGAGGGTGGGCCCACGTCTCCCTTTCCTCCCTCCCCCGCCCCCGGCAGACCTAGATTACTCAAGCCCTAAGACGTTCACGAGCCCTCAATGAGGAGAATCTTACGGGACGGCAGTTGCTCCAGAAGGTGCCAGGGGTGAAATTCTAACAACCAGCTAAATTGAACCCTGGGAGATGAATCTCTAGAGCATCTAGCTCGGGGAAAATAAAAACAAGCCTTATATTTCATAGAATCATAGAATCATAGGACTGGAAGGGACCTCAAGAGGTCATCGAGTCCAGCCGCCCGCCCTCAAGGCAGGACCAAGCTCCGTCTACACCATCCCTGACAGATGTCTATCTAACCTGTTCTTAAATATCTCCACAGAGGGAGATTCCACCACCTCCCTTGGCAATTTATTCCAATATTTGACCACCCTGACAGTTAGGAATTTTTTCCTAATGTCCAATCTAAACCTCCCCTGCTGCACTTTAAGCCCATTACTCCTTGTCCTGTCCTCAGAAACCAAGAGGAACAAATTTTCTCCTTCCTCCTTGTGACTCCCTTTTAGATATTTGAAAACTGCTATCATGTCCCCCCTTAATCTTCTTTTTTCCAAACTAAACAAGCCCAGTTCATGAAGCCTGGCTTCATAGGTCATGTTCTCTAAACCTTTAATCATTCTTGTCGCACCGCCCCCCCTTACCACCCCTAGCTGGTCTATTTGTCATGTCTATTTAGATTGTAAGCTTTTCAGACTAGAGATTTAAAACAACAGCAGGTTTAAAACAAACAAAAGGAAGTTTTTCTTCACTCAGTGTATAGTTAACCTATGGAACTCCTTGCTAGAGGATGTGGTGAAGGCTAGGACTTTAACAGGGTTCAAAAAAAGAGCTAAATAGATTAATGGAAGTTAGGTCCATCCATGGCTATTGGCCAGGATGGGTAGGAATGGTGTCCCTAGCCTCTGTTTCTCTGGAAGTGGGTGACAGGGGAGGGATCACATGAGGATTACCTGTTGTGTTCCCTCCTTCTGGGGCATCTGTTATTGTCCACTGTCAGCCGACAGGATACTGGGTTGTATGGACCTTTGGTCTGACCCAGTATGGCCATTCTTATGGATGTAAATTCTCTGCAGGATTGCATCCTAAGTACCATAATTTGCCACAAATGGTCTTTCAGTAGGTGTCTTTCCTTAGGAAAAAGGTGTCATCTTAAACAGAGTTAGCTAACATGAATCAAAATCCTAGTGAAGATAAGAAAGGTTTTAATTAAGCTCAGCTGTTAACTTCTGTGAAAACTACAAATTGCCTTTATTTTCTTCACTAGGATTTTACCGCATGTCAGCTAACTCAAGATGAAAACACGTTTTTCCTCTAGTGAACACAATGCGTCTGTATGTGTGTGTGTGTGTGTGTGTGTGTGTGTGTGTGTGTGTGTATACACACAGGCAGTCCCCGAGTTACGCGGATCTGACTTATGTCGGATCCGTACTTACGAACGGGGCTTTTCTTGCCCCGGAGGATGCGGGCGGCGGGACCGCCCAGACGCGCCGCGGTCCCGCTGCCCGCGTCCTCCGGGGCGAGAAAAGCTGCTCCGCGTCTCCCTGGTCTGCTCGGGGGGGGGAGAGGGGAGGGCCAGCAGCGGGAGACGCTGAGCATAGCCGTGGAGCACGCGGGCAGCGGGACAGTCCAGACGCGCCGCGGCTGTCCCGCTGCCCGCGTGCTCTGCGGCTTTGCTCCCCGTCTCCCCGGGCTGCTGGGGACCCGCCGA